TTTTTTAATTCTTTTATTTCTTTAATTTTATAACATTTTTTTATTGTACAAAAGAGCATCAACAGACCATACAGGTAAACGTATCCATTTAAATAGCGGTCACGTGGTCAAAAATTTTTTTTAAAAATAAAAAAATTTGGTTGTCATTTTTTGGTCACTCTTATAAAAAAAGGGTTGAAGATATTTGATTTATTTTTTCGTAGAATGATAAAACTAATAATGCTTTAGTATGGAAATCAATTTTGTGATATGGAGATCTATATTCAAAAAGTTATATTATTTTGAATGACACCGACTTTAAATTTAGCCTACATTCTCCAAAGCAATTTTTGAAAATGCTTTTCTGGCATATTTCGACTTGCCACCTATAGCAATTTTTTATAACGTGAAAACCTGCCATTTGCTCGTGGTAAACATTTTTAAAAGTAATTCCAAGGAGGTCTCTGGAACTAAGTCGAAAAACTCGCCGGAAGTCATGGTCCGATCCTTACGCCATGTTCTGGTTAGCAACCAATGACGCTTTCAAGTTAGTGAGCCTCGCTACTAGATAGGTTAAGCTTTTACCTTGAAGCTAACGACGTGACGATAGAAGCCAAAAAGAGAGCTGTTTTGTTAACAGTAATAGGGCCTCAACAATTTAGGCTAGTAAAGGACTTATGCGCACCAGCTAGTCCAGCTACTAAGAGCTTTAACGAGCTGAGCAAACTGCTAACAGACCACCATGCGCCCGTACCACCAAAGTCCCTGTGTAGAGCAAGATTTGACAGTAGGACTCGTCAACCAAACGAATCAATATCAGAATATGTTGCTGCTTTACGTCATTTAAGTGAATTTTGTGAATTTGGAGACACGCTGTCTGACAGACTATGTGAAAAGTTTGTGACAGGTGTAAACAGCCCTGATGTTCAAAGAAAGTTGCTTCTCGAGTCAGATCTAACTTTGGAAAAAGCAATACAACTAGCAACTTCATTCCAGCAGTCATCCGAGGCGGCAAAATCTCTAACGCCCTCAGGAGTCCATGCAGTAGACAGCAGGTTAGTCAACAAACACCAACCCCATCAGAGCATTTCAACTTATGCTAAACAACCTGCACGTTAAAAGCCTAGATCTAAATCTAGTAATAATTATCAAAAATGTCATCGATGCAACGGTCCCCATGCATCTCATCGATGCAAGTTCAAGTCAGCAACTTGCTATAAGTGCAGTAAGCAAGATCACATTGCCAAGGCCTGCTTTGCAAAGTCTTCGTCTGTTGCTAAATCTAGCCAGTCAAGACAGTACCGCTACCAAAGAAAGCACTATGTTAACTGTCACCAAGACAACCTAACCCAACCAATGAACCACTCTACCAGTGAAAATGCTCAAACTGATTTGCAGCCGGAGTTCAACCTGTTCTCTGTGAAATAAAAAAGTCATGCTCCCATCAATGTACCAGTTTATATCAACAGTAAGAGCATCATCTTCCAACTTGACACGGGAGCATCTCTATCCGTCATCACAAAGAAGGACTTTGACGCTGTCACAGGAGGATCAGTGCCTCTACAACCATGTCACAAGTGCCTAACAACATACACAGGTGACAATGTTCCGGTGATAGGAGAGTGTATGGTTCATGTAAGTTATAATGGTCAAAGTGTTAAACTTCCTCTTCTTGTGGTTGAAGGAAATGGACCACCATTACTAGGTAGGAATTGGTTGGTTGATCTTAAGTTAGACTGGGGGAGTATATTCTCAGTGAACAAAGCAAGAGAACCTAGTGTTACTTCAATAGATAAAGTTATATCTGAAAATGAAGGTGTCTTTGGTAGTTCAGGATTAGTTAATGATAGGACAGTGAAGATAAGCATTAAAGACACAAATCCAAGATACTACAAAGCTAGAGTTCCACCTTATGAAATGAGGGATACAATTGAAAATGAGCTAAGTAGATTGGAATCTAATGGCATCATAAAGAAGGTAGACTCTTCCGATTGGGCAACGCCCATTGTGCCAGTGTTAAAGAAGGATGGTTCTGTAAGAATTTGTGGAGACTATAAAGCTACACTGAATAAGCAAATACAGCTAAATAAGTAAAAGTTTTTTTATCGGCCATTGTTAATATAAGATGTAAAAGTTATATTACTATTGATTAGATAATACTATTGACTTTTATTAGGGAGCTTGTAGAGAGTCAACAGTATTAGAAACTGTAAGAAAATCACGGCGCCCCACGTTTTTCATCGCTTGTAGTAGAGTGATCGCTTGCATTATTGTGATGTATAGTATTTATTTTCTTCTTTTTAGTTCAATCAGAAAACGTGGGTTTTTAAAAACTTTTTTAATGATAATTATGTTCTTTTCACTATCATGGATAACTCCAATATAAATGTGAATGATGTTAAAAGAGAAACACAAAAAGATGAGTGCTTAATAAAAGTATATGAGTACTGTAAGAATGGTTGGCCTGAAGAGTCTGTGTATGATGACTTAAGGCCATATAAAATAAGAAAAATGGAGTTAAGTCTAGAAGATGGATGTGTACTATGGGGATCAAGGGTTATTATCCCCAAAATGTTACAAAAAGAAGTTTTAAGAACTTTACATGATACATATCTTGGTTTTTCCAAAATGAAAAGTCTTGCACGATCGTGGTTCTGGTGGCCACATATGGATGCTGATATTGAAAAATATGTAAAGCTTTGTTCAAGCTGTGCACAACATTCAAATCAACCAGCTACAGCACCTTTGCAAAACTGGGATTGGCCTTTTGAACCATGGAAACGTATACATATAGATTTCGCAGGACCCTTCATGAACAAAATGTTCTTAATTGTTATTGATTCACATTCTAAGTGGTTAGAAGTTAAAATCATGAGCACAATTACTGCAAGTGATACCATTATAGAACTTAAGGAAATATTTTCAACCCATGGATTACCAGATCAAATTGTTTCAGATAATGGGTCTAGTTTCACAGCTCATGAGTTTAAACTGTTTTGTGTGGCAAATGGTATTGAGCATATAACCACATCCCCCTATCATCCTGCTGGGAATGGTTTAGCTGAAAGAGCGGTAGGCATATTCAAAACCGCTATGGTAAAAATGAATACCGGTAACAAAAGTTCTCTCAGAGAAAAAGTAAACAGGTTCTTAGCCAAATACCGCACAACTCCTCATATAACAACAGGTGTTGCACCCTGCGAATTGCTGTGTGGTAGGAAAATTAAAACTCACCTGGACCTACTACATCCAACTGTTCAAAGGTCTGTTTCCCAACATCAACATACACAAAAAGTAAATCATGACAAAACATCCATTGAAAGAGAATTTGGAGTTAATGATAATGTGTATCTGAGAAATTATGGGAGAAGGGAAAAATGGATACCAGGTCAAATTGTTCAATGTACAGGACCTGTGTCTTATAAAGTAAAAACAAAGGATGGACTTATTGTCCGTAGACATGCAGACCAGTTAAAAATAACTTGTGCAGATAATAAGTGTGAATCTGTCAATCCCACCAAATCTGAACAGTTCACACCAACTCAGTTTGTTCCACAACCAAGTTCTGTTGATATGAGTGAACCAAGTTGTCTAGAGTTAGAAAATGTAAATTCTGGAATTAATGATTTAGATCCAAGACTTCCTGAACTAGAGAGTCCAGATGGTCAAAATCTTGAGTCACCAAATCAAAAGCCACTGAGAAGGTCAAACAGGACAATCAAAGTCCCAGATAAATTAGACCTATGATTTTAAAGGTCAAAAGGACTTTGACATCATTGTTTTGTATTTTAATTATGTTGTAGCATATTTTGCATTTGTTTATAAGGGTGTAATCTACCAAATGATTCAAATCATATAATGTTCATGTTGCAATATATTTGGTGATTTTAGGATACTATCATTTGAGAGATGTGTTGTTGTTTACTAAGGGTAAAGGGATGTAATATATTGAGAATTGTGAAGTCAAGGGAACTCACTCTTCTAGTATTAGTCTTATTTTTATAATGTGGTTATGAGTGATGTCCCTTGTATTTTGTTCTCTCTCTTCCGGTTTCCAATAAAAGACAGCTACATGATGGAAGGCTTCTGTGTCCGTTGTATTCTAATCTACCACACATCAACCTAGCTGTAACGGTACTCAAGTTATCGTGTTTACACACGGACACACATACGGACAAGATTGCAAAATTATGTTTTTCCGTATCAGTGAGGTGTCAAACGTCGAGATTTGTAAAAATCTCGATTTTTTTTTTGCACGATTACAAGACTTTCTCTATACTTCGTATATACGAGAAAGTAAAAATTTAAGCAGAATTAGAAGACTTAAAATTTACATTTTTTTTGTAATTGTACCAAGCTTATTAATATACGCGCCAATTTTATTATAGAAACTATGAAGTTTACTTTTGGCGTCGCGGGCGAAAACGGCGTTTTTAAGGCCGCTTGACATACCTAAATTGTTAACATAGGGACGAATACATGTCTCAGATGCTAAGTATTAAGTCTATATAGAATAGATTCGTTACCAATATTAAGAAACTCTCACAAATGCCTCTTAAAATATAACTGCTTTTATTTAAAATCATTTTACTTTCGTTAAGTTTTCAAGCACAAGCAAGGAATTATAAATTTACGTTTTAATAATTCTTGAATATTTTGAATTAATGGTTAAAACAAATTCTCATTTGTAGAAACAAAATTGAGAATTATATATATTTTTTGGAATCAACAACGTGTGTTCATTATGTAATTCTGTCTATGTAAATTTCTCGTTTTGTTTTTGTTGGAATTAAAGTCACATAAAAATTACTATATTCAAATTAATTTGAAATTTTAAAAAAAAAGATATATTTAGAGAAAAGACGAATTAAATAATAAAATGCTCATTTTAATAAAATCGTAAATTATACATTTTTCAAATATGCAAACTTCTATAAAATTTGTAACTTAAAAATCATATCAATAGTATTTCATTAAATAGTTTAATAAATGCTTTCCCATTCTTAAGAATAATACACCACAATTATTAATGTTTAATAAAAATAAAATATTCCCAACAGCAAAATGTATTAACTTATTTATTAACATTACTTAAAATATCTTTAAAAAACATTTTTAAAAAAGAAATACTGCAATACAAAGTTTACAATCTCTCAAAAACAAATTCTATATTGGACATTGTGCATATTATTTTTTAAGTTCATTAATTAAGACAGTAGAAGCCAAAATATATTTGGAAGATTAAAATGTATCTTTTTAAAATACTTTTTTGTTGTGAGTTGTGATTATGTTTTCTCTGACGAAAAAAATCCTCGTTTTTTTACATAATATTAACATATTAGCTTTAGCCATTTGACTTCACCCAGCTCTGGTCTTTTACCTACCTAATGAAGTAATTTAAATTTGCATTGAAGACACTTGCTTGTTGTAGAGACGTTGTTCCTTTCTAATTCCGAATGTACTATCAGCAAGAGAAATTTATAGTTTTAAAATGTATGAAAGAGGTGCTGACAAACATTTAAATCATCAGGAAAACTAGAAAAGATTAAAACAAAATTGTTGCACTATTTGATGTAAAATGTACACAAATACTGTTCAGCAAATTAATTACTGAATTAGCTATATAATTAACAAAAAGGTTGAATACCCGTAAATATATTTTCTAATGAACTGATAAAACAATTTTTGGGTACTATTTTCTTTTTAATACCAAAAAAACACAAACCATTATTCAGATTATTTCTGTGTGAAGTAAAGTGAAACCGCTAATAAAATAACAAAACAAAATAAAACTGTAAAATTTGTAAAAGTTTTTCTTTGCAATGTTCTTTTGTCAATTTAAAACATTAATAGTAAATATATATAACAAAGAATTCATCTTTAACAAATGATGAATATGTAGAATGGTCATTAAGTAGCCTCTCCTAGGATAGGACGAAACCAACGGTGGCGTAGGCAAAAGCCACTAACATAGTCTCCAGTAGAAGATCTGTGTAGAAAAAAAAACGTTTCCTCTATAGAACACACATACAAGGTCCTGGCATCAGCAATGAGACATCACAATGAGTTGTACAGTTTCTCGATTCATAAAGTACAAAATATTTAACAGGATCACACACATACATAAAGCAACATTACTTCTCCTATGGTGAATTTTAACTTTTATTATATAACCTAATTTATTTATTGCACACTACAAGGCTTAACAAAAATAAATTTAATCGTTGGTTGTGTATTTTAATTACTATTGTTAATAATACTGAAATATAAAATACTTATAATTTTTTAAACTGCTACAAGAATTTTGGGTGGGGCGGGGGGGGGGGGGGGTGAGGATGTAGCGCGATTTAGGGAACATAACTAACTTTATCGAACAGATGGCCCGAAAATTTTATTTTATATATTTGGTTGTTTATTTCTGTTAACGAAGTTGATTGTAATGAAATATAAATGAGTATAACACTATTATATTCATTGTGACTGTTCTTGTCGGATGTAGACATTTGTGCTGGGTTTTTTATAGGCCTATATGTAGATGTTTGGAGTTGGTTACTAACAGATGTAATACTCAAAATAGATATTTAGTTTTTTTTTAAATTTAAATTAGCGACTCTATCACCCACCCAGTGTGACTGTAAACATAGAATATTGTAATCACTACTAGTACATAATGCTAAAGACAAAAGGATACCTGGTGCCCAAGACGTAGACCTAGCCACCGAATGAGTCCTGATATTACCGGCTTGCTCAAGTAACTTTCCAGTGGATGAAACACGATTTTTCACAATATGGCCACGTTCTGTGAAAAACAAAATTGTAGTATGTTAATGTGCATTTTTATTAGGTAGGTGTTTATTCGTGTGAGTATGGATGGATGTGTGAGAAAAAGCTTCTGTATGTCAATGAAGATCAGTAGGTAGTTGAAAATAGGCATGTACGGTTATTACTGCATTGATATTGTTAAAGTATATTTGCGTATGATTGTAGATGCATGTGTAATGTAAATAAATGAAATAAGGGCTTGTGTATATCAATGTCTATAGATTTACTTATTTTATACATATACAAAAACGTGTGCTTATACTTGTGTGTGGGCGTAGGTATAGACTACGACACGGTCACAGACTTAGAACTAGACCTGGACCTAAACTAGGGCATGGGCCTGGGCATGTAAATGGACCAGGAGCTGGACACAGTAGATCTAGACCTGGACCTGCGGGTCTACGGTATTAGCTTTTAACAGATTGGAAGTCGTTTAGATGTTAAACGACAACTACATATTTAATGTAATATTTTATTTATGAATTTTAGGCAACATGAACGGAACTCAAATAATTGTGTTTACAGACACACGAACAGACACACAAACACACAGTGACGTGATTGTAAAACTAAGTCTATCCCGCACCTGGAGGTTTTAAAATGACAAAATTTGTCAAAATCTTAATTTGGATTTTATCACGATTACAATACATCTTTTATATTCTTTTATATTCCGTATGCGATATATTAGATAAGACTAAAACCGCGTAAACTCACAATTCCATTTAATGTTTGTGCATGATTACATGCTTTCTCTAAATTCTGTATGCGAGGAAAACTAAACCTCATATTGTGACCGCTTCTACTTACTGATAAGATCTGGGATGTTAATCCTTGATATATTTGTCAGCGACGGGCCAATTAATCCTTGATATATTTGTCAGCGACGGGCCAATACGCCCATCTTGAAAAAACTTGAAACGCACGGCCATATCTTCCCTATCAAATGCCCAGGAGTAAAGCAAAGCGTACCAACGCTTTGGTAGGCTGTCATCACAGTAGCAACCCGGAAAATCCGATCCTGTTCTTCTGTCGCATCCTTTAACTCCTACGTTTCTGAACTGGCAATACTATGGAAGAGAGCATCATCCTTATATATATATATATATATATATATATATATATATATATATATATATATATATATATATATATATATATATATATATATATATGGTGACAGAACAAATGATTTCAGGACAAATGATCTCACGGACAAAAGATACCAGGACAAAAATATATTAGGACAAATGGTACCATGGACAAATGATCTGAGACAAAATATCTCAGACAAAATATCTCACAGCAAAATTTTAAAAGTATGTACGATGATTTTAGTTGATTTGAAGTTTTTTTATTGACTGTCTATATAGTTTTGTTTACTTTTTATTGCATAATAATTGTGATGAAAATGAATTTGTTAAACTTTACAAAGCATCAATAGATTTATCAAACTTAATCTTTGTAATAGCATTTGATTTGAAAAAGTAAAAATTAAAACAAACGTACTCCTTTAGCCTGAAAAGTATAATAAATGATAATGTATTAAACAAATAAAGTAACATAAATGTTCAAAACACGCTAAATATGAATAGTCCAGGGAAGGTTTCTGCAAAAAAAAAAATCTATTTTAATTTCGCAAGGGCGGTGCCCTGGGAGGGTACGATTGTTCTCTATATACGGTATATAAAAATAAATGTCGATTGCGGTTTGACACCGTTCATCCGATCGCGATCAATCTTTGGTGAGTTCATTAAAACAGTCCAGGTGAGGGTTCTGTAAAATAATCTTTTAAAATAAAAATAATTCAACTGGAAATCATATATGTATAATACCTCATTATATTCACCCCTCTTCGTCGGTTCTTCTGATAAATACTTACAAATTGTATTTTTTTTAATTTATTTTTTGCTCAGCGGTTTTAACCAAATATTTTTAAAAGACATAGAAAAACTTACCGGATACCAAAATGCATGAGGGTGCGAGCAAGGCAGTTTATTAAAAACACCGCCACAGATTTCCACGGAGAAACTACTTTCTTCGTTCAACAAATGTAACCTTTCGTTTGGGACATGCACCGTACCGTAGACAAGAAGATTTTCCTTTTGAAATAGGACACACCCCAGACATTTAGGGTAATAGCCGTCTATAGTTGCAATTATTCCATTTTCTTCCAGATACTCATCCGAGGCCCACTGTGAGAACACGTGATGAGTGTATTCTTAAAGGAATCATACGTGTATCATTAGTATGGATAGCAAAATAGATTTGAGCGAATAGTATATGAGTTTGTCTATTAAATTATGGTATTCTATTAAAAAAAATATACCTGCATTATTCTACACCTACATTGAGGATTGTGTCAAATTTGGATTTTTATCCATATCTACATCTTTTTCTATGATATTTGAAATCTATAAATCTAAATCCATTCCTGAAACTAAATGTTTTTGTATTCGAACTCGTATTTGAAATTCAACATACTTCGCTTTCGGTATTATGCAGGCCTTTTTGTCTTATTACATGTGTATGCTTGTGTTTGCCCATTGTCAGATTTTAAAACTGTAACTATGGATGTGTACAGTGTGGTTTAGTGATAGAATGCGAACTTGGGGACTCGAAAATAATGCTTTCGGTACCTGGGGTGGTTATTGTAGAGGGAGTAGAGTTACCCTGCCGTTTTACCTGTGCTGGAGTCGTTGTACCCATACCTGAATCTGTATTAGTATCAGTATCTCATCTGTATATGTATTCTCCTCTGTGTTGTATCTCAACACCTATCGGCAGTTATACCTCACATACCACGGTATTGGTTTACGAATCTAAATGAAGTGTTTGTTGATGTGTACGTTTCTATATCTTTAACATACGGCTCTACTGCCAGATAATTAATTAAAACATCAAATGTAAAGTAGCCGGTTAAAGCCTAAACAACAGATCTCTTATGTGTTGGTTTAATTGTATTGAACGGGAGTTTACCAGTATCGTTTTTTACATACCTGTGAGAATTAAAATCAAGCTTAGGATCACACAACTGAGCTGCATTTTCTCCCGGCGATTGAGTTCCTATCAACACGATTAAAAACAAGTTGTAGATATTTTTATCACTTGCCAGTTTCATCAACTAAACAGAAGGTGGGGTAGCCTGTATTTATTTTGTGACGAGATTTTATGTGAATTTTGGTTTTAGTGAATAGAGGACAGCAACTTTCTGGGTGATAGCCCCGTTAAAAAAAGGGAAACCTTGCCGAAAAGTTAATATACATTATTTTGATGAAGTTCAAGGTGTTTAGTCAAACGTATATATATATATATATATATATATATATATATATATATATATATATATATATATGTGTGTGTGTATGTGTGTGAGTGAGTGAGTGAGTGAGTGAGTGAGTGAGTGAGTGAGTGAGTGAGTGAGTGAGTGAGTGAGTGAGTGAGTGAGTGAGTGAGTGAGTGAGTGAGTGAGTGAGTGAGTGAGTGAGTGAGTGAGTGAGTGAGTGAGTGAGTGAGTGAGTGAGAGAGAGAGTGAGTGAGTGAGTGAGTGAGTGAGTGAGTGAGTGAGTGAGTGAGTGAGTGAGTGAGTGAGTGAGTGAGTGAGTGAGTGAGTGAGGTGAGGTAGTGAGTGAGTGAGTGAGTGAGTGAGGTGAGGTGAGTGAGTGAGTGAGTGAGTGAGTGAGTGAGTGAGTGAGTGGGTGAGTGGGTGGGTGGGTGGGTGGGTGGGTGGGTGGGTGGGTGGGTGGGTGAGTGAGTGAGTGAGTGAGTGAGTGAGTGAGTGAGTGAGTGAGTGAGTGAGTGAGTGAGTGAGTGAGTGAGTGAGTGAGTGAGTGAGTGAGTGAGTGAGTGAGTGAGTGAGTGAGTGAGTGAGTGAGTGAGTGAGTGAGTGAGTGAGTGAGTGAGTGAGTGAGTGAGTGAGTGAGTGAGTGAGTGAGTGAGTGAGTGAGTGAGTGAGTGAGTGAGTGAGTGAGTGAGTGAGTGAGTGAGTGAGTGAGTGAGTGAGTGAGTGAGTGAGTGAGTGAGTGAGTGAGTGAGTGAGTGAGTGAGTGAGTGAGTGAGTGAGTCAGTGAGTCAGTGAGTCAGTGAGTCAGTGAGTGAGTGAGTGAGTGAGTGAGTCAGTGAGTGAGTGAGTGAGTGAGTGAGTGAGTGAGTGAGTGAGTGAGTGAGTGAGTGAGTGAGTGAGTGAGTGAGTGAGTGAGTGAGTGAGTGAGTGAGTGAGTGAGTGAGTGAGTGAGTGAGTGAGTGAGTGAGTGAGTGAGTGAGTGAGTGAGTGAGTGAGTGAGTGAGTGAGTGAGTGAGTGAGTCAGTGAGTGAGTGAGTGAGTGAGTGAGTGAGTGAGTGAGTGAGTGAGTCAGTGAGTCAGTGAGTGAGTGAGTGAGTGAGTGAGTGAGTGAGTGAGTGAGTGAGTGAGTGAGTGAGTGAGTGAGTGAGTGAGTGAGTGAGTGAGTGAGTGAGTGAGTGAGTGAGTGAGTGAGTGAGTGAGTGAGTGAGTGAGTGAGTGAGTGAGTGAGTCAGTCAGTCAGTCAGTCAGTCAGTCAGTCAGTCAGTGAGTCAGTGAGTCAGTGAGTGAGTCAGTGAGTGAGTGAGTGAGTGAGTGAGTGAGTGAGTGAGTCAGTCAGTCAGTCAGTCAGTCAGTCAGTCAGTGAGTCAGTGAGTCAGTGAGTGAGTGAGTGAGTGAGTGAGTGAGTGAGTGAGTGAGTGAGTGAGTCAGTCAGTCAGTCAGTCAGTCAGTGAGTCAGTGAGTCAGTGAGTGAGTGAGTGAGTGAGTGAGTGAGTGAGTGAGTGAGTCAGTGAGTCAGTGAGTCAGTGAGTCAGTGAGTCAGTGAGTCAGTGAGTCAGTGAGTCAGTGAGTCAGTGAGTCAGTGAGTGAGTGAGTGAGTGAGTGAGTGAGTGAGTGAGTGAGTGAGTGAGTGAGTGAGTGAGTGAGTGAGTGAGTGAGTGAGTGAGTGAGTGAGTGAGTGAGTGAGTGAGTGAGTGAGTGAGTGAGTGAGTGAGTGAGTCAGTCAGTCAGTCAGTCAGTCAGTCAGTGAGTCAGTGAGTCAGTGAGTGAGTGAGTGAGTCAGTCAGTCAGTCAGTCAGTGAGTCAGTGAGTCAGTGAGTGAGTGAGTCAGTGAGTCAGTGAGTCAGTGAGTCAGTGAGTCAGTGAGTCAGTGAGTCAGTGAGTCAGTGAGTCAGTGAGTTATGTGAGTCAGTGAGTGAGTGAGTGAGTGAGTGAGTGAGTGAGTGAGTGAGTGAGTGAGTGAGTGAGTGAGTGAGTGAGTGAGTGAGTGAGTGAGTGAGTGAGTGAGTGAGTGAGTGAGTGAGTGAGTGAGTGAGTGAGTGAGTGAGTGAGTGAGTGAGTGAGTGAGTGAGTGAGTGAGTGAGTGAGTGAGTGAGTGAGTGAGTGAGTGAGTGAGTGAGTGAGTGAGTGAGTGAGTGAGTGAGTGAGTGAGTGAGTGAGTGAGTGAGTGAGTGAGTGAGTGAGTGAGTGAGTGAGTGAGTGAGTGAGTGAGTGAGTGAGTGAGTGAGTGAGTGAGTGAGTGAGTGAGTGAGTGAGTGAGTGAGTGAGTGAGTGAGTGAGTGAGTGAGTGAGTGAGTGAGTGAGTGAGTGAGTGAGTGAGTGAGTGAGTGAGTGAGTGAGTGAGTGAGTGAGTGAGTGAGTGAGTGAGTGAGTGAGTGAGTGAGTGAGTGAGTGAGTGAGTGAGTGAGTGAGTGAGTGAGTGAGTGAGTGAGTGAGTGAGTGAGTGAGTGAGTGAGTGAGTGAGTGAGTGAGTGAGTGAGTGAGTGAGTGAGTGAGTGAGTGAGTGAGTGAGTGAGTGAGTGAGTGAGTGAGTGAGTGAGTGAGTGAGTGAGTGAGTGAGTGAGTGAGTGAGTGAGTGAGTGAGTGAGTGAGTGAGTGAGTGAGTGAGTGAGTGAGTGAGTGAGTGAGTGAGTGAGTGAGTGAGTGAGTGAGTGAGTGAGTGAGTGAGTGAGTGAGTGAGTGAGTGAGTGAGTGAGTGAGTGAGTGAGTGAGTGAGTGAGTGAGTGAGTGAGTGAGTGAGTGAGTGAGTGAGTGAGTGAGTGAGTGAGTGAGTGAGTGAGTGAGTGAGTGAGTGAGTCAGTGAGTCAGTGAGTCAGTGAGTGAGTGAGTGAGTGAGTGAGTGAGTGAGTGAGTGAGTGAGTGAGTGAGTGAGTCAGTGAGTCAGTGAGTCAGTGAGTCAGTGAGTGAGTCAGTGAGTCAGTGAGTCAGTGAGTCAGTGAGTCAGTGAGTCAGTGAGTCAGTGAGTCAGTGAGTCAGTGAGTCAGTGGGTGAGTTTGTGAGTGAGTGAGTGAGTGAGTGTTTGTGTGTGTGTCTGTAAGTGTTTGTGCGTTCGAGTGTGTGTGTACGTGTTAAAGAGTATGTGTGTGCGCGTGCACTCGTGTGTGTTTGTTGTGTGTGTGTGTGTGCGTGTTTTTGTGTTAGTTTTTCCTTGAGAAGTTGATCAGCATCTAGTTTTAGCACAAAAATCGAAAGGTCCTTCTTCTTTACTTAAGAGTTAACAACCAAAGCTCTTCTGCTGGAATAACCAATTATATCTATGACCAGTTGCTTTTCATTATATAGGCCGTTGACTCCAATTTCAACCTCGTTTACGGTTTGGATTTGCTTCCATGGCATTTACATAACCAAGAACAAACTGCAAGAAGCAGTTGTATAATTTTGGAGTTATCTCACCTAGAAGAGTTGCTATCCCCAGCTGTCGAGCCTCATTAGCCCCGGGTATTCGAATTCGGTACTTTTCTATTTAGCAACCACGTAGACCCCCGTATATTGTCATGTCCCAAATGCAAGACTTTGATTCTTGCAGGCAGTTTTTCTTCCAGACATTTTTGTCACGGGGGATGGGGGCCCTAGCAAAATTTCCGGCCAACATAAATTTCCCGGGAGTTAAGGGACACTGGTTATAGTGTATATGTTCTGTATAAATGATATAAATCTAATACGTTTATCTATTTTGTATGTGGGATTAGGGCGGTAAACGTTAAGCATGCCCCTTCCCCCCCCCCCCCCCCCCCCCCACGAAGAAATGCCTGAAAGAGACTCTGCAGACCAGCATTTTAAAACGTGCCTTGCTGTCTTCTTCTAAAAGTGACTATCAATAATAATAGGCTTGAAAAAATCTATGTAATCATATTAAATTTTAAAACTTTTTTTTTAAATATGACGAACGATGAAATTATAGTTCCTTTTTTTTTTAAAGAAAACTTAAAGTTGTTGGGAACCATAGGTTACACTAATTTTCATATTTGTGTATTAAATATAAGCCGTTGAACAGACGTTTAGAATTATTTTATCAATTCATATATTTAAAAAAAAAAGTTGTTTTTCATGATAAAATACACAATAGTGGTCAATGGTGAATAGCTTAGTAATGTATTTATATTAAATAATCTATCATCCCCTAACACCACAACACACTGGCTCTACTAATCCAAATTAAAAATTAAAATTATTTGCTAAATTACTACTATATTGCTAGTAATTATTAGTTTGAATATATCTAGCCTTAGCAAAACTGGAAGTCATTTTGTACTTATTACAAAAACGTTATAAAATATTCATTTAAGGTTGAAAAATATGCTTTCTGGCAACAAACATTTGGAACCAGCTTTTCAAACCTAGACTAGGCTTATTCACGTTACACATTTGATTTTCTGTGGAGCTGAAGCAATAATCAACATCAGCAAGAACTTATCTTACCATATCAAACGCCCAAATCAAATGAGCTCCTTACTCAACTCTACAGTCTTGTTGATGTAGCAAAGAAAACCAAGATATACAAACTTACTGTTAATTGTGAGTGGATTACATTCTATATGGGTGAGATAAAAATGCCTTCCTTTTAAGGTGTAAAATGAAAAATAAACATGAACTCAAAGCTCTCTTGGATCGGAAGTAGAAAAGCAATATACAAAATATACAAAATACAGACTTCGAGAGCTGGGTTAGAGAGTTCCTTAAAAAAACATTGTATGGCCTTTAAGTTTATTGTAATCGTGCACAAAAATCACATGAAATTTGGCAGTTTTCGCCGTTTTACTTCTCAGTACTTCATAATGTATAGAGGGCTTATTTTAATCGGGCAAAAGTTATAAATCCCTAATCTATCAAAATGTTATGCATCATCTAGTCGGAAAAACTGAGCTTTGCAATTTTGTCCGTATGTTTGCATGTGTGTGGATGTGCGTGTGTGTGTGTGTGTGTGCGTCTGTTAACGCGAAAGCTTGAGTACCGTTACAGCTAAGTTGATGAAATTCCATACGTAAGTATTATATCAAATGTGTAGTTCTGTATTAATATGTCATCGATTTATACCTCCCTGAGTCGGAAAAACATAATTTTGAAATTCATATCTGTGTGTGTGTACGTGTGTATGTGTGTGTGTGTGTCTGTAAACACGATAACTTGAGTACCGTTACATATAGGTTGATGAAATTTCATATATAAGTGTTATATCAAATTTGTATAAACTTTTCAGCGACTTCCGATAACCGTAAGTGGAACTTTTTCTATTTTTAAAAGCCTATAACTTGATTACTGTTCTAGATAGCGAGACGAAATTTCACATATAAGTAAAAGTTTTAATTCTCTGCATTCTTTCAAATTTAATTTTGAGTAATTTCCGTTGTCCGGAATTACAACTTTTGGTGTGTTTTTCTTACTCACCGACGAGTATTGGCGAAAGCAGTTGCAGAAAAATCAATTCAATTAAAGTTTACTGAATTTTTATGGCACACAATTCACTTGATTGGATGATTTTCCAAACGATTGTAATCTTTTCTTTAATATGGCGCTATACCATTGCATTTCCTTTGTTTGCATTAGCTGTATTTACGAAAAAAAAAACAATTTTCAGTTTCAGTTCATTCAATAAAGTTAACAACATTTTTTTTTATATTGGCCTTTTACTAAACAAATAAACCGGGAGTGATCTCCCCTAAACTTTCTCGAATATTTTTATATAAAATAACAGGGGATGGGAACTCGGGCTATAGACATGATTTTTAATCCATTTTAAATACTTAAAGTTTTAAAAATAGAATAAAATCACGTAGACAAAAGATTGCACACCAAGTGAACGCCAAATAAAAAAGTGCATAATAGTGCGCAATACTATTAGTACTTAAAAAATTTACATTAGTTTTTTGATAAATCGGAAGTAGCGTAAATTAGTACTTCCTGGCAACGGAAATTACTCAAAATTTGACAGAAGGTAGAGAATTAGATCTTATACTTACATGTGAAATTTCATTTATCTATCTGAAATAGTACTCAAGTTATAGGCTTTTGAAAAATTCAAAGTAGAAAAAGTACCACTTCCGGTTATCGGAAATCGCTCAAAAGTTGATACGGATCTACGATTTTGATAAAATACTTATATATGAAATTTCATCAACCTAGCTGTAACGGTACTCAAGTTATCGTGTTTACACACGGACACACACACACACAGACACACAGACATACGGACAGAATTGCAAAGCCCAGTTTTTCAGACTGGATTACGAATAAAACCTCTTAGTTTTGATAAATCTGGATTGATAATTTTTGCCCGATTAAAATAAGTCCTGTATACTTCGGATGTGATGAAGAACTGAGGTGTAATACGGTGAAAATTATTAAAATTTCAAGTGATTTTTGTGCACGATTACAATACTTTCTCTATACTTCGTATATACGAGAAAGTAAAAAGGAAAGAAAGAAAAAACATAATAACAGCATTAAAAAAAATAACAATGGAAAGTAAAGACAAATCTGTAACATAGCATTAAAATGGAATAAAGAAATAATATTACATAATACAAAATGAGATAGAATGAGAATATAATAGATGAATGGGGAAATGTTGTCATTTAATGGAGGTTTTGAAATAACTGTTGTTTCAAATATTGGTAGTTTAATTTTATTAGGAAGATTGTTCCACAAATTAGAACCAGAGTAGGAGAAGCTATGTTTTTGAAAAACAGTTGTATTCGGGCAAGTGTCCATTCGGGTATTTGTCCCATTCGGGCAAGTGTCCATTCGGGTATTTGTCCCATTCGGGCAAGTGTCCATTCGGGCGTTTGTCGCATTCGGGCAAGTGTCCATTCGGGAAATCGGCCTTCGGGCAAACGGACAAGTGTCTTTCGGGAAAAGGTCCGGCTCCCGGCGGCGCCTTACTAGGCAATAGGCAAGGGCCCCGAAGTTTAAGAGCCATTGCTGTTGTAGTATAGTTATAAGTTGTAATTCATCATTTTCTATCGATATAACAGTCATAGGTTCAGAGTTCAAAGTGCAATTTCTGTTCGTTTATCATTATAATACTATGTTGTTGTTTTTTGTGTATTTATAAAGAATATCTTTAGTTTTTTTTTTCTGTGGATAAATTCAAACTGTCAAGACAACTCATCATCATCGTTTCCCGTTCGAGCCCAAGACACATGAAGTAGAGTTGATCTGTTTCTATGATCTCGTCATCAACTATGCCTAGGCCACCGTGTAACGTGAGCCAGGTGCTCGTCAGAGCTGGGTGGAGTCAGGACCATCATGCGGACTCGTGTCCGCGATCGGAAACCCTCGGGTTAACAGTCGTAAGTTCTACCATCCAACCACACCACTCGATGCTCAATACTAAGTTGCCATTTATGTTCTATACTAGACGTCCCGGCCAGGCCCTGCTCTGGCTTCTGTGAAAAACCTTTCTGTTAAAGACCATTACCTGTGTGTTTAGTAATCATCATAAACCCGGCATTGCCCACCCAAACCACAACCAACCAAAACAACAAAACGCAAACATAACGCTAACACAATTATAAATACAAACGAAAACAAAAACCTAACAACAAACCCAACCACAATCGCAAACACCAATACAAACACAAGGAAAAAACAAACAAAAAAGAAAACGAAAACAAAAACCTAACAACAAACCCAACCACAACCACAAACACCAATACGAACACAAAGAAAAAAAAAACGAAAAAGCAAACGAAAACAAAACAAATCCAAACGCAAAACCAACCACAAACACAAACCCAAAGAAAAAAACACAAACGAAAAAGCAAACGAAAATAAACCAAATCCAAACGCAAAACCAACCACAAACACAAATACAAACACAAACTCAAAGAAAAAAACACAAACGAAAACGAAAAAAAAAGAAAGAACAAAAACGAACCAAATCAAAACGCAACCACTAACACAAACCCAACCTAAACACAAAGAAAACACTAACGCGAACATAAACGCAAATTGCTCACAGTCTAGCCCGGGGCAGAATCGCATGTTTCAGCTTAATAATCGACTATAGTACCCCAACTTATTCATAGTCTGTTGCACTCACTTAAACGAACGTAGGTGCCAAACCAAACCAAATGAACAATTATAATATTCCAAGCTTATTCGTAAAATACCTACAACATTTGCACTTGATCAATCCCCGCTAATTATGTAATTTTTTTTTCCATACACTAAAACAAACTAATAAAAAGTAAATTCTTTTCCACTAATGCAATGTCTGATAAAGGGATTTAATTTTTTTTTCCTAATTTATCAAAGGGAAGTAAGTGCTAAACGACTAAATATAAATAATTTTCAGACATAATTAGAATTTTTGTTATTTTTTTTTAAATTTTCTTTAATGAACAAGCCGACAATTATTACTATCAGTTCGAAAAATTAAAATTATTTCCCAACACTTCCAATAGTAATTTTTTAACTCATAAATTTAGACTATGAGCACGATAATAGTCTAACACTTTAAATCCATAGAAGTATGTCAACGACATACAAACTTATTACATCCAGAATTGAGCTATATATTAGATAGTGATTACACGGTGTTATTTTTCTATGTGTATCACAGTCACCGTGTCCAGATATTAAGGTGCCATTTATTTTGTTTTACAGACATAAAAAAAGAAAGTAAAGCTCCCTCGGGCACGTGAAGTAGAGTTCACTTGTTTCTGTGACCTCGGCATATGAAGAGATACTGTTGTCAGCACTATGCCCAGCCGCCTTTACTTTCCCTAACGTGAGTTAGGTACCCATCAGAGTTGGGTGGACTCAGTGACATAACGGGTTGTTAATTTGTCTATAGATATCATTGTTAACCAATTCACCCCTGCAGTAGAATGTGTAGCTATATCGAATAAGCGCGCGAGCCTTCACCTATCAATATTATAGGAACATACTTTTGTTTAGAGGGTTATACGCTGTGGCGATGTTGTAAAAGCCATCGTTAAATGTTGATTCAGAAAGCAAAAAATTAAATTTTATAATATTCAAAATATTGAAAACAACGACGGTGACTCAAGCTCGAAATTGCAATTGCTACAATTGGTTTGAGACCGCTGTTATTTCGTCAGTCTAAACGGGGCTCTAACAGTTGTATGACGTCATTGAGGCCACTCAGCTCTGCTGGGTACCTAACTATTGTTAGGGAAAGTAAAGGCAGCTGGACATAGGATTCAACACAGTAATCCTTCAAATTCAGCGGTCATTGAAACACATCAACTCTACTTTTTATGCCCCATGTGTATTGGGTACGAACGGTAGAAGCTGGTGTTATGGAATTCAAAAACTAATTGTTGATAAACATCATACATTTAATGAATTTAAAGTTAAAGAATCAAATTGACAGCAAAAAAAAATATTTTCAAATTTAAGTATAAATTTAAAATATTGTAAAAGCAACTAGCTCTTTTGATAAAGTATCACATTTAATCCTTCTAAAAGTTAAAAAAAAAACTAGCTGGAATATTAACAATTTGATTTAGTAAAATTTAACAAAAATTAAAATATGTAAGAGCGGTGTCCTTAGAATTGATAAGTGATTTTCTGAAAGAATACAATTATTACAAGATTAACGAAAACAAACCAGACACAAAGCAAACAGCATTGGCACCAGGCTGAATATAGAGGGACTGCCACTGCAGGCCGCAACTTTCATTGGATACAACTTCTTCCTATCGCATTCTTTGTCGTTAAAACAGTCGTAAAGGTTCCACAGCCCTTTGATTTTCAGCAGGTCACAGTATCTCTCGCCCCGGATCAAGTTCCGTGCCGTGACGTTGCTATAGGAGCACTCCTCAAAGGCAACCAGGCACTTTGGTGGGCTGACCTCGATCTCGTGTGAGAACCCCTGTGATTTCGGCGAAGCGCACGCCGTTTTGTTAAGCTTGGTGATTTCGTCCGTCTCGCAATGTTTCTTCAGACAGTTGGTGAATATTTTCTTGCTTTCTCTCATACTGAAGAGCCGGCAGTATTCTTCTTGGTGTTTGAAGATAGTCCAGACACTGGAGGAGAAAATACAAAAGAGCATCCTTTCCTGGCAAGCTGAACTGGTTAAACTGATCCTATGCAACATTCTCTTTGTGATGGTGCTCGTCTTGTGTTGGGTTTCTTGTGTGAAGTTGCAGGCAGCCGAGTTGAAGCTGGAAAACTCTTCAGCCGTGCACAGCCCAGCTTTGACGTTGCATTGGAAGGAGGTGACGCCGTCTGACGCCGCGTTGAAATCTAGACATTTGGCGTCATCGGAGTCGAACACTTCCGATGTAGACAAAGACAGACAGTGGTCTATTGTAAGACTACAGGGTGTGGAGAGTTTGTTTTGTTCTGATGTGAAGTCAGCTGACGCTTGGGACATGATGCACATCAACCACAATAGTGACCAGCAGATAGATCCCCACATAGAACAAACTATCTGGCTAAAACACATGAAACTCATTCTTTGTGGAACTGGTTTAAAAATAGGCTATCAATTTCCTTTTTCTTTTGTATTATTTATATACTTTTTAAGTGCAACAATTCTGTCTAAAGATTTTTTTTTCAATCTTAAATCAAGCTCAATCACGCCTTGAGCAAGGGGACAAGTATATGAGCACTGAAATAAACTTTACCACTCGGCTCAGCTGATAGTTCTTCACGCGAGTTTTCTACACGTTACGTTTTATCTCATGTTCTTATCACTAGTGAAATTCAGGGAAATTCAAACACTAACTTTGTTAGTTGGATCTCGTTTAGTTAAATGAATTAACAGAAACTATTATCCCATAATATATAAATAGGTGTTAAAGAAAAATAAACAAAATAGCTTAAAAAAACATATTAAAATAGATTTGATATATTTAAAAAAATAAGTCGTTTCTATATTGTTAGTTAAATATTGTTATAACCTGAATTTTGAAGCAGCACAGTATCGATTGGACAAATAGAAAAGTTATTTTGTATTACAAAAGAAATGTATAATTCATCAGAAACAGCCAATCCAATGATCCACGGCTTTTCTGTGAAACCGTGGCTTTTGGTACAGGATTTATTTCATCTACAGCTGATTTATTCCTTCTGTGGTGTCGTGTCTAGTCTCTAATGGACGTTTCTATGTCTCTATTGGACTAGATCTTGTCTCTATTGGACTAGATCTTGTCTCTATTGGACGATTCTATGTCTCTATTGGACGATTCTATGACTCTATTGGACGTTTCTATGTCTCTATTGGACTAGATCTTGTCTCTATTGGACGAGTCCACTTCACCACTGGACGAGCTCAAATCAAACACGTTAACCATACATTTTTCTAGAATTTATATTTTAATCACTTAATAAGCCTTATTTTAATGCGTGTTTTTTTTTTTTGTTTTTGTTGGGTTATTATTTTTCACCGAGAGAAGGGCAGATAAAAAATTAAGAAGGGACGTAACAAAATGATTTGTGCCATTAAGAGTTGTAGCCGCTACATTTTCACTTTTATGAAATCTAAGTAGGACCATATAAAATTGTTATCTCACCCTAAGGCCATTAGTCTGTGAACAAATTGGGTATACAATCTTCTTTGGTATTTGCGCAAGAGTCATGAATACTTGACTTGTATAGCGCAATATGCGCTATAAAAAAATTATAACTATAACTATGCAATAGTTTCTGTTAGGTAACTCGGGGAGAGATGGGTGGGCTGGGGAAGGTTTGGCACAACCCCTTACCCCCGCCCTCTATGGACGAAAAGAAAAATTTATAATTTAACCCACTTGGAAGTTACGTTGCAAGTGAAGTATCGTAATCACTGAATGATGTTGCCCGACTTTTTAATTTGTTAGTCTTTTAAAAAATTGAATGCAGTATCGTAATCACTGTATGATGTAGCGAATTGAATGCGGTATCGTAATCATTTAATGATGTATCAAGCTGCATGCGGTATCGTAATCATTGTATAATGTATCAAGCTGCATGCGGTATCGTAATCGTTGTATGACGTAACAACCTGTATTATACTCTAGAAGAGGCGGTAAACATAAGTAAGCCTTAACTCCTTGTTAAATTATGACCACTAACGCCAAAGGCCCGAGTTCGAATTCCGGGCAGACAAGTCTTGTTAGCTAGCGACAGCAACACATCTAGGGTAGAAAACAAATCATGACTTCATGCAATGCAATTAAAATCATCGTGCTAAACAAACGCTTAATAAAAAATGACATGCATTTTTATGAGAAAAAATCACCTTAACTTGCTGTCACCCCGATTCCCCCACACGCATCGTGTGCGGGTTAGTGTGTGGATAACCCCCACAATACGAAATATACAGACTTGATTTAGACGTCAAGTTTAATACGTATTTTTATTTATTTAAAAGTGCAACAAGGGTAATTTCCCCTAACTTTAAACAGGGATTATTTCCCCTACCTTCTCCTCCGTGGCTGCACCGCCGAGGTAAAAAATAATCGTTTCCAAATGTGAAATAGCGCTGCAAAGTGCATGAACACACGGCCTTCACCCTCCGAGAGTTGTGTGTGTGTGCGAATTGCACGTGAATGCCTCAGGTTACACGACGACCTACTCTTCACAACCCACTGTGAGCGGAGGCGTAAGGTGGAGGGTGAGGCAGTGTAGTTCTCCTGTACCGCTACACAGCTATTTGTTTTCGTTTAGTCGTGGTTGTTTTCTACGTGCCTCGGCGTTTCCAACCCAACGGGAACAACCTGAGTGTTTTGTTTACTTGTCAGAATATCAAAACTTCAACCAGAAAAATCTGTGAGTACCGAACAAAATTGAACTTTTACTAATTTAAAACCATTACACGTTTTTAAATAATAATACTGATAATAATAAAATAAACAAAACATTTTCTTTAGCTATGTTGGTGAAAGATTTAGATGATTATTCTGGAAATTTTACTCGATGTTATTTTCGAAACCGAAACATTGGCCTTTTAGTAATGCAAAAGAAATTGTACGTTTCATGTTTTTTAGGGCAGTATATTTAGAAGCTTGTTAGAGGGAAAATGATTCGTTTTTCTTTGTAAGTTTTGGCGTTTAGATATTGCAAACATATATTATAACCATGATTCCATTCAAACAAGATAATGTAATTCATATTCTTTCTTATACTATCTTACTTAATTAAGAAAGTCGACACCCATTCCCTCCCCCCCCCCACACACACACACACTTCCACCCCCAGCCTGGGCGAGTTTGAAAAATGTAATTTAATTTTAATAGAAAATATGTACTTGAATCATAATCAGCTTACACCTCTGGGAAAGCTTTAAATGGCGCTCATTCCTCATAGAAAAATGCCTGAAAGAAACCCGACTCCCATCCAAAATATTGTTTGCTGTTTGTCTTGGGAGAATGCCAGGCGTACCGTATTTTATCATCGTCATCACATGGGGCAGATGAAGTAGAGTTCATCTGTTTGTTTAACCTCGATATACAAGGTGATAATGTGGTCAGATCTATGCCTAGCCGCTTTTGTTTTACCCAAAGTGAGTCAGGTACCCATCAGAGCTGGGTGGACACAGGGACGTTCTACTTATTGAACCCGGATTTGAACCCGAGAATTTCGGGTTAGCAGTCTAGCGCTCTACTTCTAGGTCACCGTATTTTATACACACCGGTATTAAGGATTATAATTATGGACATGTTCTTGCAACATGTTTTTTTATAACAGCAAATACATACTTGAGAGTTATTGTCCTTAGACTAGAGAAGCCCCCCCCCCCACACACACACCTACCTCTTCTCTCCCACTACCCTTCCCCTACCCTCCCCCTACCCTCCAAATGCAACATAGGCTTGAGTATTTAGACATTGTTCTGATTTTGTTCTCCCCGACCTAGATAAACATGCCGTCGTATAATACAACCAATTTATATCAAAACATTGCAGGCAAACAGCAACATTGGTTTCATACCTAGCAGCAAGAATCAAGCTAATACACATCTTGTCTGCAAGTAATTGGCTTAACAATCGTGCGGTTAACTCTCCAGTAATCTAATTAAATTTTAATGACTGGATTTATGTTGGCATTTGCAAGAAAGTTAATGATAATAACTCTTAATGTCTTAAAGTCGTGATTGATCTTTTGTAGATGAAAAACACGGAAAATTCTAATGGTGCTTATTATGCAATATTAATGATGCAATATTTCCTAGACGTTTGGGGAGTTGTTTTTTTTTTCATTTCCCCGGCAAATGCAACGATTTTGTGCATGCTTCGTTTCGTTGCGTATAACATAAACTCCTGTACGTATTTCTGGTCATTCATGTGTCTGGAGATTTCGAATCGTGTGACTTGTTTGTTCTCATAATATCAGGAGCCCAAATGCAAAAGCGCTTAAGTGTATTTAAGATAGTTTTCGAAAACTAATAAAAAGTTAAAAAGTGTATCAAAATTTAAAACGAAACATTAGTGTCTATAAACCAGCTCTCGAAAAGAAAGGTTGAAATGATTTCTACCTCGATGATTTGTTCTATGTGGGGATCTATCTGCTGGTCACTATTGTGGCTGATGTGTATCATGTCCCAAGCGTCAGCTGACTTCACATCAGAACAAAACAAACTCTCCACACCCTGTAGTCTTACAATAGACCATTGTCTGTCTTTGTCTACATCGGAACCGTTCGACTCCGATGACGCCAAATGTCTGGATTTCAACGCGGCGTCAGACGGCGTCACCTCCTTCCAATGCAACGTCAAAGCTGGGCTGTGCACGGCTGAAGAGTTTTCCAGCTTCAACTCGGCTGCCTGCAACTTCACACAAGAAACCCAACACAAGACGAGCGCCATCACAACGAACATGTTGCTTAGCATCAGTTTAACCAGTTCAGCATGCCAGGAAAGGATGCTCTTTTGTATTTTTACCTCCAGCGTCGCGACTATCTTCAAACACCAAGAAGAATACTGCCGGCTCTTCACCATGAAAGAAAGCAAGATAATATTCCACAACTGTCTGAAGAAACATTGCGAGATGGAAGAAATCACCGAGCTTACAAAACAAGCGTGTGCTTCACCGAAATCACAGTGGTTCTCAAACGAGATCGAGGTCAGCCCATCAAAGTGCCGGGACGCCTTTCAGGAGTGCTTATACAACAATGTCACGGCACGGAACCTGATCCGGGGCGAGAGGTACTGTGACGTGCTGAAAAAAAAAAGTCCGTGGAACGTGAACGACTGCTTAACACACTTCGAATGTAAAACGAAAAACTTGATTAGACTTAAAGATGCGGCCTGCAGTGGTCCCCACACTATGTATTCCTTGGTACTAATCATGTTTCTGGTGTTGGTTCTTTGTGTTTAAACTCGTACTTAAACAATATTCTGCCTCCTTCACTGTGGGTTGTTGTTCTTTCTAAAATGAATTTCGGCTTTCTGTCTGTTTCTATGTTGCTTGTTTTACACACCTTCCGTTTCACAACAACTCGTCTTATTAATTAATTTCTTTCTGTCATTATGCAGACCAATGTTAGGTCCTTTAAGTACCAACTGCGGAAACAAGAAAAACTTCTATTACGATAAACAAAAACTTCCTCCCCTATAACTAAACTATAAATAAACTAACCAACACCCCCCCCTTCCATATCTCAAATAAATTGTAGCCAACACCAGCTTGCCATCTCCACCCCACCCATCACTCACCACCACCTTTCCTTTATCCACATCCACTTCTACATACACAGCAGAATACTACAAATAAATCTATGAAACGAATATGAAACAAAAAGTTTCAATAAGTTTTGGGCTTCTATAAGAGCACTTCATGTTAACCACTAATTATATTTTCCCACGCTAATGTTACCCCTTCTCTCCTTTTACTAATGAAGATGATGGTTTCCCCTTGTTGGTGTTGCGGGTGTGTTCAAACCCTCACCTGTTAATTAAGGAAATGCAGAGTTAACGCCCTAATCGTGTATTCGGTGTAACGAGGACTATTTTGAGTGTGGTCTGACGTTTTTAACGAGTGTCCCAACAATTCCTAACATACTTCCTAACATGTCCTAATACACGTCCTAACGCACGTGCTAGCACACGTCCTAACAAGTCCTAACATGTCATATCACACGTCCTAAAAATGTCCTAACATGTCCTAGCATGTCCTAACACACGACCTTACTCATGTCCTAACACACATCCTAACACACGTTCTAACATGTCCTAACACGTCCTGACATGTCCTAACACATGTCCTAACATGTCCTAATTCACGTTCTAACATGTCCTAACATGTCCTAAGACACGTCTTAACATGTCCTAACACACGTCCTAACATGTCCTAACACACGTACTAACAAGTCCTAACATGTCCTAACATGTCCTAACACATGTCCTAACATGCCCTAATACAAGTTCTAACATGTCCTAACATGTCCTAAGACAAGTCCTAACATGTCCTAATACACGTTCTAACATGTCCCAACACACGTACTAACAAGTCCTAACATGTCCTAAGACACGTCTTAACATGTCCTAACACACGTCATAACATGTCCTAACACACAAACTAACAAGTCCTAACATGTTCTAACACACGTCCTAACATGTCTTAACATGTCCTTTATTATTATTATTATTATTTATTATTATTATTAGGTTGATTTTTATTTAATTTCTACTTTCCTTTAGTGTATTCTGAACAAAAAAAACTGAGAATAATTAACACCGCACTTCCCCCTTTATCTCCGTACACAACTCCAAATTCACCCCTTTGTTCTGTTAATATCTGCTCCATGTTTTCCATCACCCTAACATTTCACTCGTACAGCTGGTTAACCTGACCTTTACGTCACGATCTAAATAAAACCTTGGGACGATGGAACAATTCCTGCTTCACATGCTGATGTGTCACGACTGCTGCACTTGATCAGGAAATATCCAAAGTCTATTTATTTGGAGCATGTACTACAGTGGTGTGGGCTGTGTTACGTGTTAGAATGCTCTCTCCTCATGGGTGCCTACAATTATAGCTGACTCCAATTTCCATTAATGTTATTAGTAAAGGCATGCTCAAGTCTATTTTAGTACTGTTTTTTTTCATACTGTTGCATGTCATGTAAAAAATAACAATTTTTCGTTTGTAATTCTATATGTATATGTATATATATATATATATATATATATATATATATATATATATATATATATATATATATATATATATATATATATATATATAATTTTCTTAGTCTCCCTACATAACAAAGTTCTGCCTGTAAGGGTATGGTCGTAATGGAAACCTCAAACTATACCGATTACTTACATATTACTATGACCATTTAGTCTATAATGCAAATGACAAAACAGTTTCTCTGTAATAGGCATTTTAAAATGATAGTGTTCTTTTCTATGCCTAGAAAGTCAGGTACCCATCTGTGTTGGGTGGACTCAATAGCTGAGTTCGTGAACATCAGTGGCAAAATACGCAATGCCAAGGAAAGTCATTTGCTTAAACTTTTAGCGCCATACAACTCAACGACTAAAAAACTAGATCACCGTTATAAAATTCATTTCTATATAACGAAAGGCAAGACTCTTAAAATTAATATTTAACTTGATTATGTATTTGCTTTTTTATTTATTTCAAAATTGTAAAAAAAAGTTTCTTGATGCAGATTTCGAGACTACTGTTGTTTTACTTTATTCTTCTTGTTCTTGATTGTCTTGTTGGAAGGGATTTCACTAACACACTTAAGTATTACTTTTTCACGTGCAATGCGCTATATAGGCCATTGACTTAGTTTAACGTTATCAACAAAAA